AAAAAAAACCCGGGACGCCCGGGACAGGACGTGAAATACGGATATGTCCCGGGAAATACGGACGTTTGGTCACCCTAGGTATATAGATGGAGGAAAGTTAGATGTGGTTCTGGTGAGAAGCACCCTCACCTGTAATGCCTCTGTCAGTGTCTGTTTGCGGTGCTTCATCAGGTAGGCAATACAGATGGTCGCAGAGCGGCTGCGCCCGTTCTTGCAGTAGACGACACTGTGCCCTCCACGGTTGGCCTCCTTCTGGATGGCATCGGCGCAGCGGTCAAAGTGGCTGTAGAGGTCCTCGTTGGGGTCATCATAGACAGGGATCCGCAGCTTGGTGATGCCGCTGTTGAATGGGAACGGCTGCTGCTTGGACACATTGATGCAAAGTGTCACCGCCTCCTGCTGGAGGAGCTCGTCGCTGCAGGCTGAGCGGGCGTTACTGATGAAGAGGGCGCTGGTGACTTTGCACAGCTGCAGCATCCTGGTCAGACCCTCACAGGGCTCCTTGATTAATGTCAGATCCGCAGCTATCAGCTACCTGGTCAGAATGGGAGGCATGAGTGTTACATGATGTTTGTTTATGTCTCCTGTCACCGCAAGCTTTTTAGTATGACATTTTGTGTCTGAAACAAAACAACTGGTTTCGTCAAGTTTTTGGGGGTTCAAAAAAACTTCATCTTATCCTTAAATAAAACTATTCAGCACTGCAAATTAAGGTCATTAAGGATTTTTATTTTTTATGTTTAACACTTAACTGAAGAGGAGTCAAATAAACTATGATTTGATCTGAATTCTGCCCTAGAATACACAACAACTCGGATCCCAAATTATTGACCAAATTCGGAAAAAGGTAATTGCCTTTGAAAGAGGATAAAGGATAGAGACAGAACCAAAGGTTCTTTCTGCTCCTAAAGGCTACCGGTTACCATTCATTTTTCCTGTTAGTTGAACTGCTGCTAGTTTTACTCACATGCCTGGAAGATGTCTAGTGCTACAACCACAAATGATCTTGCTCTCGAAATGGAATTGACCGATTCAGATTAGCTAGCCGAACAAATAGAAGGGGTAGAGAGTAGCCGCCTGTGGCTGCCTGTCACAACTCCAGCCCAGCACGTGGATGACGTCAATGTAAAAAAAAAACGGCGTTTCCCTTTAAGTTTCAAGTAAAGAAACAGTTGTTTTTTTTATACTACCTGGTGGTTAAGGGGGACACTAGCAATGAATGACACCTTCTTCCTGAGGCAGCAAGAAAAAGAAATAAAAAAAAACTCCACTCTCCACAGTAAAATAGAGATTGGTTAAAGAATGACCCAACTCAATGACCCCAAGGCACAGCAATACAATTAAAATTTGGCCCCAACTATGTCAGTGAGGTAAAATGTTTTTGGTTTCTGTTCTGTGAAGCTTTAAAGGAAAAGTCCGGTCAACAAGGAATAATCAATGGATCATTATCTATACCTAAAACGAATATGTTCGCAGGATTTAATGAATTTAGCGTTAATCAGTAAAAAAAATAAAAATAATCTTTTTAATCGCCATTACATTAGTCTGGGACCGGCCTTTTTTGCCCAAATATAGTAACGCCCCACTCACTGCTTTACAAGCAAAATCATTGGGAACTACTAGAAACATCTGCAATCAACAACAATTATTTAAAATTTCCAGAGGACTTCACCATTGAAATTCACCAGCGCTATAGTTAAACTGACAATGCCCACATGCATGGCAGTTGGATGTTGGAATACATCGGGTAAAAGTGAAAAAAAAGTAGTTTTTTCACTTTTCCTATTCATGATCCTCTATGGACGGGTTTTTTGTTGGATTACCAACTTGAAAAGGGAGGATTTGCCATCAAACTTCTGTCCAGAGAAAAAACATGTAACATGTAGCCAATATTTGGAAGAAGAATGTTTTCAAGATGACTTGGATAATAGCGCGTTGTGACACACACCAGATACAGCACTGGGACTTGATCAAAAGCCGATATCGCACCATGACGTCACAAACCAGTAGGAGGCAGTAGTATTCTTGTAAAGCACATTCAAATTGAACAGTATGTAATAATTAATATTTAAAGTGCCTTTAGAAGTTTGTATTCGGAATGTGACCCGACTTTTTCTTTAAAACAAACCTGGAAACTTCTGGCTCAGTGTTATGTCTGTATTCAGAAAATATTAATTTGATCAAGCATCAGGAAGTCCTGAGAGACTTCTGGTGCCTATCTCCAGCTGTCTACTGACAAGAGGCTCGGTCCACAGGTCACCACCTTTGCAGCACAACACAGAAACAAACAGGACAAACAACCATTCACACATTCCCAAGTACAATTTAGAGAAGCCAATTAACCTAAGAGTCATGTTTTTGGACTGTGTGAGGAAGCCAGAGTATCTGGAGAGAACCGACGCATGCACAAGGAGAATATGCAAACTCCATGCAGAAAGACCCCAGGCCGGGAATCGAACCTGGAACCTTCTTATTGCAAGGCAGCAGTGCTACTCACTGCTACTCGAAATGAGCACCTTGTATATATATATATATCTATATATATATATATCTATATATATATAGATATATATATATATATATTGTATAATTTCAAATAAAACTTATACAATCAGCTGTGTTAGTTTTTTTAATTGCACATTTAAAGAAAAACTTCAATGATGTAGATTTTACCTTTTTTTTTGCAGGAGTAGAATTACTTTATTGCACCTTTAAACTTAAACAGTCTACTGTTTTGCTTGTCAGCTGCTACAAACTCTGGAGATCTCCTAAAAAAATACATCTTAATCTTGTCCTTTTAAGATTCTCCTCTTGTTTCCAGCATTAGTTATTGGATAATTAAGATGCAAAACACCTGCAGGAAATCAATTTATTCAACCAAAACACGTACAGTTACAGCTGCTAAACATCCAAACCTTTGTTTCTTTTCATTGTTACAACAGTGAAGGTTATTGTCCCTTCAATTATGTTTCTGTTTATGTTTAACATTCATGGATTTTGATTTAAATCAACGACATTTTGATACAGTAGATAATGGATAATATCATAATCATTAGCTATGTGTGTAGATGTATTTTCTGATTTTGAAAGGACATATTTTTACATTGACTAAACACCCAACACACACCCCTACACACACACACACTGTTAGAACATCTCTCTGACTGACCTGCAGCTGGTCTGCAGGATCCTCCTGATTGAATCTGTGGTTGCTTTTTATCACAGGAAGCTTTTCCCTCTTTGCTCCAACAGACCAAACGCTTTGACTGATCGATGTGTTCAGCTCCTCATGACCCCCAACTGGTCGGATCAACATGACACACACACTGTCCCTGCTGCTATATTTACTGCTGCTGACAGCTGCTGCACTCAGGGTCCTAATGCTGCTCACATTCGTGGCTGAAATAAAAACACTGGTGAGCAATCTTTTCTGTCTGGACTTAGGTTTTTCAGATTTTTATGGATATTAAAGAAAGCACATATTTCAAAGGTAAAAAAGAAAAACAAAAGTTGAAAGAAAGTTGTAAATTATTATAAAATTATTATAAAAGATAAAAGCATGAAAAACAATCTGCAATTTAGTTTCTGACGCCAGAGTTTAAAGCCAACAAATCAAACAACCTTTGCTGACAAATCAAAAGCAAAAACAATTTGTTTGTGATAAATCTATTAGAAAGGGATTCCAATGACCAGGCAGATTCCAAGGTAATACCAGGACCTCTCAGGTTGGAGGATGGAGGTCAGAGGGCCAAGTGGGGTCTGCATAGAGCAGCCCTGCTTCAGTCAGCGTGTGAATGACTGAAGCCCCTCTGCTACCACTTTTTCTAAATGTATATAAAATTTGTAGTAAAATATCAGAGAACAAACATTACCTTTCTCACCTGACATCTTCTCTGTATTTACAGGTTATTTAAAGGTTAAGTGTTTTTTTTTGTTTGTTTTTTTAAGATTCATTTGATCATTTTATCCTATTAGTGACCTGAGAGGCCCAGACAGAAATTATAGTAGCCTGTTTCCATCCAGAACGCTGAGGCTACTTGATTTTTTTCTGGCCGCACAACAAATTGCCCATTGGGAACAAAGATTTATAGTTCTTTCAATACAAATCCATTTTCACAAAACCTTCCAGTCCTTTTAGTGATGGCCATCAACACATTAAGGCCAAACTCATTCTAAACTATCTGAAAGGTTGACAGAAAAAGGAAACATGTTTAGAGTGGAACTGAATCCTGCTGCGTTGTTTTACCCGACAGCAAAGAGGGCGGCATTCTGTCAGATTAGCATACCTCGTCAGCATACCCATAGTCAATACGCATGTGTAAGAGGTCAGATTTGCGTTTATCCCTTTAGATTTGTACGAAAAATAGACTTTAATCTACTTCAACGGGCATGTATCCCTTTTGTCATGTACAAAAAAAAGTAAATGTAAAGTCAGATCACCATATGCTTCAAAAAAACATAATAAAGTGAATATTTAAATAGTTTTTTTGTACATGACTAAAGGATCGCTTGTGTTGAGGTAGTTTAAAGTTTATTTTTTGTACAAAAATAAAGTGATAAACTAGAGTGATAAATGGGAATAAACTAAAGCAGGGCTCTTTAACGTTTTCCAGGCCAAGGACCCCCAAACTGATGGCGAGATGGAGAGGAGACTCCCTAATAATATATTGTATTAAACTGCATTATATCAAACTGGTCCTATAGTCACTCTATTACATATGGAGTCATGTAACAAAAGTTATTTCTCCCTGGCATTCTTATTCTGATTCCGGGTTGATGGGACAGTTGTTGTGAATGAAACGGTGCCCAGCTTGAAAGAGCTCCTGTGTGTCACTGAATGTGTGCATTCATTTCTACAGTGTGTTAAATTCATGTTAATGTGTATATAAAGACTTTTCGATTAGTGGAAAAAAATTGCAGCGGGGAATATAGAAAAGTCTAATCAACCAAAACTTTTGCGACCCCCATGCAGTACCTCCATGGACCCCCTAGGGGTCGCAGACCCCTTGTTGTAGACCTCCTTACTAAAGTAATAAATGGGAATAAACTAAAGGGATAAATGGGTATTGACTATGGGTATGCTGGTCTGACAGGGGGTGCTCATCTGACAGAACAGCGGTTGTGGAACACAAACAGTTATAAACAGGAATATCGTCAGATAGGACACAACTCACAAACAAATGGAGGAAGTGATTTTATTGGTGGTGCTGAGAGGTTGTCACACATGCAAACAGCGAAGTCCAAGCAGAGTGTTGTCAGCATTTTATTAGCAATCAGAGAAAAGTTTCAAAAGGACGAACTGAAGGACAAACTGAGCTGTTTCTGTACAAGTCCAAATATTCTACACTATGTATTATAATACAGCAGGATGACAGCAGTCACAAGAGGAGCCATGAGTCGGTTACAGCGAACAGTTCTGATCCAGAGTCATTTCCTGCACTGGATTCAGCTCATGCTGCACCGACCTTCCCTCTTTAACATCAAAGTTGCCAAATGCCAAGTTTTACATTTCTTCACTTCAAACAGGAGAGCAGTGAGCTGAATGGTGAAGCCTGTTCTCAAATTCCCTACCATAAGCCCAAAGCTCAAAGAATAAAATTTTACATCTGATTTCCAAACCTGGAAGAAGTGCACCACTGTGCTCCAAAGCTAGCTTAACCAACCGATCTTTACCTAAACCCACTGATTTTTTGTCTGAAGATGGGAGACATGGAAGATGCTGTTCATTGGCAGCTAAAGACTAATGTTCCCTGTTAAAGAGGGAATTTGAAACTTCCATTGTTTCTCATTTACAGGTGAACAATCATAGTGTTATAACATTTTTTTATGCTGGAGTTTTCTTGTGGGTAAAGAAAACATACAAAAAAATAAAATCAACATCCACACAAATCAAACCTGAGCATCGGAGAGGTTAAAATATGGAGGAAAACATGGCAAATAAAACAGGAACACAATGTTATACCAGCTTGATGAAAATAAGATGCATTCTAGTTTTATGTAAGCAGTAAAATCAATGTGAAAAAAGTCTGCTGAATATTTATAAGGGCTGAAGAGCTCAAAATCACTCTGTGCTTAACAAACAAAAACTATACTGAACTTTAGGCATTTTATGAGTTTCTGTAAAGCAGAAACGAGAAGAAAATTTGTGAGATTTCACTGAAATTGATAGTTTTCTCTATGAGACAGATTCTAGGAGCTCTTCCAGCTGCGATCCTTTGGACCTTAAGGTGTTCTGATGCTAAAGCAGCTCCAGCAGGTTGAAAACCCAGAGCTCAGGTTGCGCCTGAGAAAAGGTTTATTCTGTTCGGTTCTGGCTTGTTCGACTCTGTTACCAAACCAGTTCTTAAAGTGACCAAGATGTTCAGACCAAAACACTGTGATCTGAACCATTAAATGTGAGAACAAAAACTCAGTTTCACATAGAAAACAAAACAGATTAAAGGTTCCCAAAAATATCACTGACATTTTGTTAATGTCCCTCCATGCAACATACTGATTGGTTTACCCATTAATCTGACAGTAAAATTCAGCTTTGTATTTTTTTTTTTTTTTTTTGGTAATTAGGTTAAAATGATGGTAAATTATAGCATAAATCTGAAAAGCTTTAATCTAATTTCTTTCTTTGGCTGCTGTTTAAACTGGAAGTGAAGCAGAACTTTACATGAATGTCAAGATAGGATGTGAGATGCAGCTCTACTCACGACCTGCAGCAGCAGCTTTAAGAGCCCAGAAAACAAACTTATGTTCATATTTAACAAGAGTCTTAAAAATGAGACAAAGCAAAAAAACTATAAAACTTTTACAAAAATCCACAAAAGTAACCAAAAATCATGTCCTATTAAGAAGCGTCTATTTAACATCTTGCTTGTACCTAAGATTTAATTCATTTGACATAAATTTAATTTATAAAATATCTTCCAGTAATAAAAAGTTGCATTTAGGTATTTTATCCACAAGGGGGGGGTATTTATTTTCCCAGAGCTTAGCTGCCCCTCATCTTAAATGGTAAACAAATTTCTGTTTGGCAGATTTCTTATTTTGGCAACTGGGGGTGTGGCCCTCAAACAATAGAGTCATTTTAGATGTAAAGGATTAATTACAAAATACTAAAATCTGTTTTATGGGCTTTTAGGAATTTAGAAAAAAAACTGTCAGGTTGCAAGCTGCAGCTTCATATTAGTGTAAACAGACACATCTTCAGGTCAAGAGGTGCCATCACTGTCCTAAGAACTACAGTCTGCTTCCTGATCCGCATCACCTTCATCAGACAAACTGAGCCCACCTCGTCTGTTTGAGGCCGTTCAGAAAATGTTACTCACTGCAATCTTTGGTAACTCACTGTTAGGATGTTTTAGTTTTATAAAACATTCAACAGACAAGTGATGAATTAAAGGAAAGGCATAAAAAACATCCTCTGCATCCTGCAGGCATGCTCAGACGTGGATCCACCTCTTAACTTATAGTTTAAGACTGATAACGTTCATCACTCTCAGTTCACCGCGGAAAAAAACGTGGAAATGTGGATGGAATAAAGTCTGCTTCTCCACACAGAAACATTTCCTTTTAAGATTTAGTTTTGTTGGCCCAAAACTTTCTGTTAAGCATAGTGCAAACCTCAAGTCAGAACTGAGTGTTAGTGCTAAGAAAAGTTGGATTTTTCAAGTTTCTAGGGAGGAAAATTACAACAATGTCACTAAATAATAGAATTTCACTTTGAAAAGTCAGAGCTTGACAGATTACCCTGACAGTCAGTATCCAATATGGCTTCTTCTTTTATCGATTTATTTTTCTGATATAAAATATGTGGCACTGTATAATATCTGTATGTGAACATGTGCCTTTAGTGTTTGAGAGCATAAAAATGTAGAGAACCATATTGTTATCGCTTTGTATTGCTAACTGCAGCACAGATAAATCAAATGTGGAGCAGTTTTACAGAAACATTCTGGATCAGACTTCAATTTCCTGGTTTACTATAATTAGTCACTCGCCTGCATCTCTGACTGTCTGCTCAGAGCTGATGTCAGGTTCAGCAGAAATCTAAAGCTCACTTTGAGGTCCGAGCTCACTAAACCTCTGTAGTTACTGCGTCCTGCCTGTAGGCGGCACAGCTTGATGGTTTTACATGGCAGAAACACAACTCCGTAAATGATTAAAACAGACCAAGTATTAATTTTCCAGACAGATGGTGGGGTGGGGAGAAAATTTCAGTGAAGGCTGTAGATGTGTATAGAGGCAGGTGCATTTGTCAGATAATGAACATGAATGGAAGCGAATATGCAGGGCATACATTTGGTGCAGGTCTGCAGAGATTAATCCTTCCTGTATAAACAGGAAGTGACCTGCTCTATGATCTGACCTATCTCTCTCCTCTATTATCTGTGCACGTTTAAAGCAGGAAGATTCGGAGTCTGCACGTGAGGCTAAGAAGGCTGAAGATACAATCCTGCCGCCGGACTTGGATATACTGCAAGCCTGTCTTCTACGATACATCATCAACTGAAGGGGAAAACTCTCGCTGAAGGAGCAAATAAATCCCTTTTAATTATGGATTTATTTCCTGCATCTGAGATGAACGTCACCAGAGGGAACATACAATTAGGGCTGCGACAGAATCACGATGTATCGCAGAGGGATCGTCCCGATATATCACTGCCTCCACTGTTGCTCCGGCAGCAGGGTGCTCAGCTCGCTCTTCAGTCATGCAGTAAAGACAATGCAACGGTATGAAGACCTAAGCTTTGGGGTCCGACCTGAGGCACTAAGACCCACAGATGGCGGTCAGGCGGGGTGGAAGCGGTGCTGCAGCTCAGGGCCAATCAGGAGTGGTCCATGGGTTCGCTGGAAGTGCTCTGTCCAGCGTCCTGGCTCTCCATCTCCTCTGGTTCCTCCACCTTGTCTTCCAGTTTGCCCGCTGCAGCGGTGGGTTGGTGAGCCGCAGTGGAGGGCAGCTGACCAGCGCCACTGTTGGTCCCACCAGTTTGCTCCTGACTGGCTCCGCCCACAGCGGCACTTTGCTGCTCCTTCAGATGCCGCTCCATTGAGGCCTGGATTGAGGAGACCATTTCCTGCAGCTTCCGGCGCTGCTGCTCCATCAGGCTGGGGTCAAGGGCGCGGCCGTCCTTGGTGGTGACGAAGCCAGGGGCCATGCGCACCAGCTCTCTGGTGGCGTCCTCAGGAATGTCCGACAGGTCCGGGGGTCCTCTGGAAACACTGGCACTCAGGTCTACGCCACTACTGTGCTGCCGTGTGATTGGCCGATGCTCTGGAGGGGAGGAGCCCCCGGCGCTCCCCAGAGAGTGACCTTTACCCTGGAAGGCGGTGACGCTCTGAAGCTGTTCCTTCTTCCGTACGACTCCTCCGCTCCCCAGCCGCAGGATACTGTGGGACGGACTCCCCTCTCTGCTGCCTCTAGAGACCGCCTCAGAGCGCAGCTGCGCCACGGCCTCCCTCACGAGCTCCTCCACATCGGGGCCGACAGGAAAGTGACCAGCGGCATCCACGCAGAGCTCCAGACGCTCCTCTGCGGCGTTAAAAACAAATGTTTTCCCCGTCAGGTGAGGCAACGTGCAGTGCTTCCCGTCCATCAACCCTGAAACAGACGCACATCCAAACTGCTCAGGAGCAACAGAGACCATAATCATTTTTCAAAATTATTATTTTTTTATTTTATTTTATTCATATAACGGATTAAATGTTTAATTTTTAATGCACTTAAGAATTCAAAGCAGTTTCTAACATCTAATATGACTTTACGGTTCTGCTCTAAAGGTCCTTCAGGGCTGTTTTCTTATGCCAAATCTTAGATGTTTAGATCGTCTATGCTAACTTTACAGTCATCACAACAACAGAATCCTCCATGAATGTAACCAAGCCTTAAAATGAAGCAATGGCATTCATGGTTCTCTTATTTTGCATATAACATCTAGATCGTTCTGGAGCTCACTTGCTGTCCTTGCTTTCTTGCTCTTAACTGATGGCTGTGCTTGTTTATAAATTCAGCTCTCATAAAGAGTACACTTAAAGAGTCCCCCAAAATGATCTGGTGTAAGGCTTCAATTCAACTCTGAAAACTTGTTTTTGACTCCCCCTCCCACTAAAGCAGGTTTTCTCCTTCCAAGATCGTTGCTGTGTGAATGTGACAAACTTCCTGTTGACAAAGTTTCTTGTTTGCAATATTTTCCACTTGCTTAACTTAATACAAACGTTTGAACATTTTCATCAAAAGCATCAACATAACACATCCCCTCTCATAATGACAGATGGAGGCTGTGAGCATGCTCAGTATAAGAACTTGGTTCTAATGCTTGAACCCTTTTTTCATCTTATTTGTTTAAAGCCCCCTGATAGATCTGACTAAAACCTTTTTAATTACCCCCTTTCAGAGACATACAGGTGGGCTCATTCGTCTGGTTCAATTTGCCTGTTTTCTAAGCCAAAACAAAGCTTTTTATTGGTCCACTCTATAAAGCCTCAAACTCAATGCTATTTCTGAAACTTTGAATTGAAAAAGCTTCCTGGATAGGAAGAGAAACATCTTCAAACTTGGAAACAAAGTCCAGTGAATTGACTATGACCTGGAGGACTGAAAATCTTCACCAGAATCAGACTAAAACATTCGTCAAGTAAAATGAACAAACAGGTTTTCATTTTGGGGGGTTCGGCAACATCTGAAGCAAAACAACTGAAGCAGAATTCAAACAAATTCAAGCAGAAAACGAACTTACCCATGTCTTTCTTGACAATATTGTAGAAGACGCCGCCCTGCTGGAATAGGTGTGGGAGCTTCTTTGCATACGACCAAACGTCCTCACCTGGAAGAAGGAAGAGTTCAACAGTTAGCGTGGAGCTTAAAGACACACTGAGACCTGAAACCCAACCCAAACGTTCAGACACGTCTTCTGGGGACACTTTAACTAGGATTATTTTAATTGAAGCTCAAACTGAGCCTGGTTCTGTTTCTATTGGAGGTTTCTTCAAGCTGAATGACTGGGACCCCTCCCGACTTGCTTGCTGAGGACTAATACCTGCTGCACAGCCAGTGAAGTCTGGATAAACCTCTGTGAGTCTGAGAACACAGCCTGCTTAGAAAAAAGTGAGTTCAAGCAGAACCTTGAAGCCACACGTGACCATTTATTTCAAAAAGGCTTTACTGTACGGTGAACAGCGGGAATTATGTGAAGTTTATATGACTAAATCTAACGGGGTGAAATTGGACCATTTTGTGTCGCCGTACAGTTCAGCCATAAGTATTCACATCCCAGGCAGAACTAAGATTTAAAGCCATCTTTAAATTTTACTAGAAATATTTTCCTAGAATCATTCAGAGAAATACATTTGTTATTTAAAAGGAAAATAACGTTAAATCCTAATCTGATGGGGGTGTGAACACCTGATCCCAAATTTAATTCAGTTTTTTTCCATGCATCCCATTTCATTTACAGTGTACCAGTACTGCACTTTTGATGATTAGCCTATTTTTACATGGTTTTAAATCTTCCTTTCATTTTTACAAAACGCTATAAATTGGGGCTGTGAAATATGGCTAAAATATGCATTAGGGTATGAAAATGTATAAGCAGTCGATATCAAAAATTTTTGATAAGGGTTTTGTTTATCTATTTATGAGAAGTGTTGAGCTATCTCTATAGTTATGGCCCTATATAAATAAACCGAATTGAATTGAATGGAATAGCAAATCCTTGAAATGTCACATGACAGAGCAGAACCCTCTGTATGAGTGCATAAAGATGCATGTTTACGTCAAAAACTTGAAAAAGCTCGACAAACTTTTTCTCACTTTAAAGAATGTTCGTCCCAAGATAGCAAAACGTGTTACTGCAGCTTAAGATTTCCAGGGTATGTTGCGTGACTAAAAACTTTAAATCAATTTGACTGGATGATCTGGTGAACTGTAAAGTGTCTTGAGATGACATGTGTAGTAAATTGGTACTATATTAATAAAGATAATGGAATTGAATAAGTGCCAGGGGAAAAACCCTGGGTTTAAGCTACCGTATAATCATGTTTAAACATTTAACCTCTAGAAATCAGACAGCATGCAGGGGACACTTTCCCCTGCCTACATGCCCCAGAATGCAATGTGGTTCTGGATCAGAGTTCTGGACATTATTTTAAATTTTTTCTATAGATATTGATTTATTGCCCATCTCTACTATTCAAATATATGCAATTTTATCTATATATATGTTCCTTATAATTATTATTCAACAACCTGAATTGTTTCTGAATCTGAAAGTATGATTTGTATAAAATTAATTGGATATCATGAAAGTAGAAATGGATTGAATCTATACATTCAATTAGTGCCTTAAGAAGATGGGGTTTTTTTTGTAAATTTGGAATTATGAATATAAATGTGACAATTAAAGCCAAAACCAAACAAATCAAGTTCATGACTAATTGTATTTAATTCAGTTGATTTCAGCAGCTGAGTGCCTGGGCTGGTTTAAAGCTGCTGTCCTGATGCTGCTTCTTTTGACAAACATCCGGTCATTTATATGTAGGCTATGTGAAGGACATTTGAGCTGGGAGAGGGAATCTTCTGCAGAAACGCTTCTTCAAAAAGTCTGACTAAATGTGAACTTATGAACATTTTGTTTCCTTTCGAATCAACCAGTCCTCTGGAATATTAAGATGCCAAACAACTGACTTAATCAGCTGAAATCTAGTTTTTGGAATTCCAGCATGGCAGATGTTTGTACCATGTACCAAATGAGTATTGACTAATTTATCTAAAACATTTAACTAATCAGAGGAGCAGATGTGATCCAGCCATGTTTTACTCATTTGTTGCAGGTGTGAGCAGAGTCAGGACAATCAGCAGGACCTTTTTAACCTCCCGGTCTGGACTTGAACTGGGTAACGATTACATTGGAGGTGTAATAGCTGAGGTTTAGTGGATGTGCCGACAATCAGCAGTTTTAAGGCGTTCCCTCGTCAGACAGAGGCAGAAGGATTATTGACAGGAAGTGCAGCATCAGGCGCTGCACAGAGCTCAGAGATTATAACCTTCCTGAAAATCAACTGTCCTGTTTTTAATCGGACAGCCCCGGTGCCCTTGGACCTTTTGGGCAGGTAACAGAGGGAGGGGACAAGATGGCTGAGTCAGCACATTCACCAAACCATGTGGTGCTTCTGGTTCCATTCAGTGGATTGGGAGTCTGACAGCTAAGTCAGCTGCTAGTTTGATGGAAACCTGTGTGCAGGGGGCAACCAAGCAGAAGCCAGTGTGTGTGTGTGTGTGTGTGTGTGTGTGTGTGTGTGTGTGTGTGTGTGTGTGTGTGTGTGTGTGTGTGTGTGTAGCTGCACATCTGTACTACAGAGCAAAGTACGCAGCTGATCTCAAAGGATGAACACTGCAGCTTAAGTTCATCATCTACTGTTACATGTGGCATGACTGAACGATGGAGAGAAACAGGCGTAAAGAGGAAGAGTCTGCAACCAGAAAAGACTGAATTTCTGATATTTTAGTGTTAATTTGATAAAAGGTTAACATCTGAGAAACAGAGTAGAAATATAACATAAACCCCAACATTTAGGCCGGTTTTAGGACTTCGACCAGGTCTAAACGGGCTTAATAATAACACTTTTTTTTTAGATGTGACAGAATAATAATTATTACTATAATTATAATAATAAAAACTTTTAGATGTGAGACGGAATAATAATACAATAACAATAATATTGATCATTTTCAGATGTGTACTACAGCCCCCCTCTCCCTCACTTCACACTGCCGATCAGCTGGCTGAACATTTCTTCTTCTATGAATGATCTATCAGGATTGAGGACATTTTTCCTTTCCTTTCTTTACTTCTGTAGTTTTCCAGACTTCTTGTATCCTTCTACCTTATAAAATAAAAAATCTTATAAATCAGTCTTAAAAACTGTTTAGGAAAGTAAATTTCCACTAAAATTGAGCAATGTATTTGTACCTACCTCATACAGCTCCCTTTATTGAAGCTGTATGATGATTTCTATAAATGATCTTAAAAGTTTGCCAACCGCAGCTATAAACCAAAACTATTTCTGTCTTGCAGGAAGTAGAATATTCTCACGCTCCTAAAATAATGGCCTACGTCATTTCAGTAAACATTTTTTAAAAAGTCACACTTCATATAGGCCAGTATTAAAGCAAGGCTTTGCTTTTTGATGAGATGATTTAAGAAAGAATATAATCTTTGGCTAAAAATGAAGGTTGCAATGTTAAAATCCCAACCAGCTAAGATTCTGTGACACGGTGAAACATCCAATCGGATGAAGGATATTTCAGTTTAAAGCAACCAACGTGTCACATTTCTAAACTTACCCATCAAGGTTGCTAGGAGACAGAGGGAGGACATCTCCAGGTCTATGCTCTCCTGGATTTCCCGGTTGCTCATCCTGCTGGACGTCACAGCGTCATTGGTTTTCACCGAGTGCAGGCCGGAGTGTGAGCTGGACGCCCTGGTTATGGAGGCCCCCTGGCCCCTGTCGTCGGGGGCCCTCAGTATTTCCACCGTGACCCGGTCCCCATGCTGCAGGGACACTGGCTCATTCTCATCGCCATCCTTTGGTGGAAGCAGCTCTTTAGGGGGAAAACCATAGCGAATGCACTGCTGCACTGGCGGAACGTCCAGCTGGTTGGAGATGCTCCTCTGCAGGTCTGAGAAGGTGGTGTGGGCCGGCAGGGTGAGCATAGCCTGCCTGCCGTCGCTGGTGGTCACTCGGATCTTCTTCTCCTTGTTGGAGGAGGAGGAAGGGGAGGAGGTTTTAGTGGGGGTGGCGGGAGCTGAGGAGGAGGAAGTTTCTGGAGAGCCGCCGGGGGAAGTTGACCGGCCTTGTCCTTTCTGCTCGTTTTTCAGTTTGTCAGTCCGTCTCTTCTGAGTGACGAAGGCCTGCTCACTGATGCTCTGCTGGATGTTGCGCTCTGCCCGGCTCATTGTTAGCTCCTCCTTGTGGAGCGTCTTGGCTTTCTGACCAGTCAGGATGATCTTTGTGGGCAGCTGCGGGTCCGCCGCAGGCTGAGTCTCCACGTCGTCAAGACGCTGGGCGTGGGCCCCGTCGATAGAAACCGGGTTGTACTCGTCAGGGTTCTTCTTGGCCGTGTGGTGCAGGATGGTGTTGACCACCTTCTGCACTAGGATCTCGCTGCCGAACTCTCCCGGAAAGTGCTTGGTGACCAGCTTCATGGCGACGTCGTAGACGTTACTGTTTAGTGTCGGGTCCATCTCATACTGGAACCAGTACACCGTCTCACGCACCACCCGACCCCCCCACTCCAAAGTGATGGGGAACGCTTCAGGCAGGTTGTCGTATTCCTTCCCCTCCCAGTAATGCTTAAAGCCACAGCCACACTTCCCACCCTGGGACCGGGTGTTGGTTCTGTCCCCGTCCAGGTATACCACCGACCCATTGCCGCGGATGTGCCGCACCGATGTCCCGTGACACCAGTTGCAAGTGTTCAGGGAACTCAGTTTGTAGTCGGGGACCAGGACGTCCCTCTGGGGGTCGTAGGAGCAGACCACGTTGCTGAGGGGGAAGCTGTAGTTCTTGTCCGGCCGCAGCTGTCCATGTGTGGATTTAGCCAAGTTGTAGAGCTTCCCTCCAGGAAGCAGCCACTCAGACGGGACGTGGAGCTCAGAGAGAGCGCCACAGATCAGACAGCGGTGCAGACGGTTCTCCATCACAGATTTCTTGGCCGCTTCCGTCACCTCCTCGGGTTGGACGCCGATCACTCCAGTGCGCCTGTATACGTACTGGTGTACGTCAGCAACTAATGAAGGGTGGATGCTGTGCTTCTCCATGAACACCTCCTCCATGGCGTTCACCAGCCTCATCAGGTATTTATCCTGCAGGCTGCGGTCGCCCCCGATCACACAGCTCCCGTCCGGCTCCAGCTTGATGTACTTCCTGATGAGCTCCTGAGGGACGCCCCAGGCTTTGGGCAGCATGCGAGGTGGCAGCTTGGGGAGGACGGTGTTCTTGATTCCCACCAGAGGAACATAGTGGTTTCTGCCTGAGCTGCTCCAGGCGATGCAGATGGGTTTGTTTAGCTTCCCGTCTTTCCCTTTGCACTGCTCCTCGGGTACAAGCCCAGGTAAGAAGGTGGCTGAATAGTCTCCAGAGCTCCTCATCCCGCTCATGGAATCCAGCAGGACGATCGGCCGGTGGAGGACGTTGGCCAGGCCAAATATGTGGATGTTTCGCAGTCCCAGGGGGACTCCTTCAGGAGGGATGAACAGGGGGTCGCACTCGTTGATGATGTCCTCCCACTCTGCAGCATCGATGAAGTCCTGGAAAAGGTTCTTGTAGCGGTCCAGGTTCTGCTTGAAGTTCTGCTTAAGGTTTTCTCTCAGCGCATGCCAGAAAAGCTCCCTTCCCACCAGTGCTCTGGAAACGGCGTGGACCAGACAGTGTCCATCTCCGTCCACGTGAACCGGAATAAGACACTCTCTGTTTCCATTGGCCTTCTTGATCTCCTCCAGGGTGTCATGGAGGTAGATCAGGCTCCCTGAGCGGTCTTTGCCATAACCCATGGTGCCTACATGGTCCGGCTCTATCAGGAAGGCACGGTCCCCCAGCAGAGAGCAGTCAAAGATCTCCCCTTGGTTCATGTCATTCAGCAGTTTGGCCTTACCGGTCTGTTTGTCCATGCCGTAGCGGGTCAGCACCGGGGACAGCAGCTTGCAGTGGTAGTTGGAAAGCCCCATCACCTTCACCAGCTCGGTTCCCTTCTTCGGGGCCCCGGTGACGCCGAGCAGGGCGTTTCTGAGCAGGTTGTGGAGCACCACGTCCGGGTCGGTGACCTCCTCCACGTTCAGCAGGCCGCTCTGATCGTGCCGCTGGCCGCATTCCGTACACTCGATGCTGATGGAGCCATGAGCGGGGAAGAAGAGCCGCGCCTGGCATTTTGGATCCGGGCAGGTACCGCACAGAATGCGCTTGTCTTTCTTCTTGGAGCCCTGCAGCAACGACATTTTGGAAAAAATGAGCTAAAAATATCTCCAAGCTTCACATAACCATGATAAAAGGCCCTACGGTAGGCTGTCAGATCAGCTCCGGCCGCTATAAGAACTGTTTTGCCAGAATAACACAAGAACAACACGGAAGCGGTTGGCTTTCCTTTAGCAACTGGCCGTTGCTAAACGTTCATACGTAAGCACGTAGAGATTCTGGGACTTGTAGTCCTAATGAACAACACTCACCGAAATTCAAACAGCCGTTTTATCTTTTAATAAACCAATTTTGTTTTGAAACAGTACAATATTGAATGAAGCAAGACAATTACACCTTTAATTAAAATATAATCAGAATACACAGTAAACATTTCCAAATAGTTTTTTGGGTTGAAACAATTTCCCAGAATGCACCGAGGTCTGTTGTCGTTTGGTTGTATAAGGAAGTGGATTTAGGCAGACTACTTGCAATTTACCCTTAAAAACAATATTATTACCACTTTTTAGAAATGCGACATATTTACACTAGCTACTGTAGCTGTCATGTGTATTTTTTACCTCTCTCAAAGTTTATTATAGAAAATAACAGTTTCTTGGTTAGCTTTATCGTTATTCTGCTGAACTTCCTTTTAATATCTTTGAATGTTATTGTTTGTGTGGCGATAATTTAATTTAGACAGCACTAAAACTCACACAAAAATATTTGGATTTATATTTGGATTACATCTTATCCTGCAAGATTAAGTTATTTTGATCATATTTTAAAAGTCAGGAAATTTTACTAACTGAAATCATGTTTTTATCCACACCTTTAAAACATTTTCTTCTTTGCTTTTAATTGGACAAAAGTAAAGAAAAAAGAAAAACGTTAAACAGATCCGGGGGGTTGGGGTTGGGGGAGTCTTTTGGGATTTAATATTTCCGGAAGTTCTATTTGTAAACAGCGCTTTAACATCTGACGTAACAATGACGTTGAGGAGACCTCTGCTCTCTGCTGTAATCCTGAAGGTGATTCAGCAGAAACCTGAAACTATTCGGTTCTCAGAAATGATAAAGTATCACATTTAATGTAGTCACTATCCTATAAAATATTTTATTGATTTTTATTAAACTTTAGTTTTTCATCACTTATATAAATGCAATAATGACAAACATGAAACAGATTTGTATTCCATTTAACTAACATGATTCATTACTGCTTCCAATTGGCCAGCAGGGGTCAGCTTTACTCCATTATATTTTAGCTCCAGAGTTTATAAGAAGTACATTATTAATGTTAGTCACGGTGGCAGCAGTCAGTGTCAAAGGTCAGAACATGTTTAAGGCACAGAGTGTTTTAATTAAAGGGTCATTGAATGCAAAACCGAGTTTACATTGTCATAGATGAATAACCATAGTTCAGTGGGTGAAATGGACGTACAGAGAAGTTCAAACCCCATCACCTCCTTTCTCTGCAAATCTCTAAATTCTAAACTAAAACGGACGAATTCAAACAAAGTCCCGAATTGACATAAATTCGGGGATGTTGCCTTATTTGGTTCTGGGCTGTACTTTTCTCATGCCCCGAAATTGACATACAGACCAGCCCAGTGGTTTACAGCCCAAGAAGGCAGGTGGGGGGAAGCATAAGGACACCAGGTCGAGTTCGGTCGCTCCGTCCCCCAGTCCGGTCCAGTCAGCGGCCCAGCAGCCCCCACCCCCCAAAAAAGTGTCCTCCGAAACCCAAATCTGATCACCATAGATGTGCCTGCATTGCTATTTGCGGCGTCCAACACCACTTGCGATTTTATATAGTTTTATTGTCTGCATAGGAGGGTTCTAGGCCCTGGAGGACTGAACTGAAAACTTACCCAACAAAAAATTGACTCAAGTCAATTTTCTTGAAAAGGGTGTTATTTTGCTTCAGGTTGAGAAGGTAGGTAAGGTAATTAACTAATGTAATAAGATGATTTCAGTAAAAAAAAAAAAAAAAAAGCCCATCTTATTTCAAGTAGTTTATATGTAATTATCAGAGGTGTCAAGTAACAAAGTAGAAATACTTTGTACTTAAGTACACTTTTTAGGTGTCTATACTTTACTCCATTACTTATTTTTCTTCCTACTTCCTACTTCTGACTTCTACTATTTTCACACAAGTATCTGTACTTTCTATTCCTTACATTTTTAAAACAAACGTTACTCGTTACTCTTGGCTTCAGTTTAATGTTTATAAATGTTTATTTCATGTGATCTGCGCCATCCAATGCAGATCATTGGCGACAGCCACATCTAGTGAAAACTAGTGTAATTGGATGAGTCATAAAACACAAACACTCATTGGTTAGTTAAAGGAAATCATCAGAAGCAAATCAATGTTCTTCAAACTACAAACGTGAATTGACTATGCTCAGAAAAAGATGTTTTAATGTTTGAAAGGTCGCGTATCAGGAGATTGAGACGGTGACGTACAAGACCTCCCTCATCCTTGCCCTATCTCAAATAATTTTTCGAAATAGTCGGAAAAATTGAGCTTTCTATTCATAAAGTGGCATCTGGCTGTTTTTGTTAAAGGTTACTTTATACTTTTATACTTTAAGTAGTTTTGGAGCACATACTTTTTCACTTTTACCTGAGTAAAGAGGTCAAGTTAATACTTCAATCAGCTGCTAGTGTGTTTTTAAACTGCTTCTACTGTATACTTCTACTTAATTAATCAACATATGTGTGTACCTTTGACACCACTGTTAATTATCTTATTTTGCGGGAAAAATAAAAAAAATGTTGCCAATAATATTAATTACCTGCTCATTTTAAGAAGTTTTTACATTTTAGATTACTTTTTGCTGTGTCAAACAAAATAAGTCATATGATTATATCCATTGACACAATTGACTGCACTCAAATCTTAGATCTTGTTTTGGGATTCATATATGTTTTTGTTATGAGACTATCATGACTTCAAGAAGTCTTGCAAAGAGCATTTGCCTCACTGGCATGGCAGGCTATTGCACTTAGTTTAAGTAGATTCCTCTCAAAAGCAATCTTATCTTGCTTAGTGTATCTATCTCGATATGAGACCCTGATTAGATGGACAATTTTTGCAACATGTAACTGATGATTTGACTTGTACCAGTTTGTTCTTTCATATTTACAATTTATTTTTAAAAAATTTAGTCACAATAAAACTTGAGCCATATTAAGATAAAACCAGATTTCCATAATTATTATTCTTGTTCTGTGTCCCCTGGCCCCCCTGATAAACTTCATCTAGAACTGCCACTGATTTTCTGTTATATCCTTTTTGAATTCCAACATTAACATTTTTCTGAAAGAAAATATAATATAATAATATAAATAAATATATATATAAATATAGACTTATTATAATAATTTATCAATTTGCATGCCTAAAAGTAAATAAATCAGTAAAACGACAGCAGCAGTTTGAACTTTCTTGTACTGTTCTACTTCCACATTTTTAATGTAACATGTGTTTTGTGTTCTGTTTCTTTTTTTTAGCATGTCTGAAAATCATTTTCCAGGCATAAATAATAAAAATTAATAAGATGCAAATGGATCCCCATGCAGAATAGTAATGTCAATAATTGAATTACCTGTCCTGGCATTAAAGGGCCACCATGAAAGATAGTCAAGCCTTCAGTTGATTGTTTCAGTCTGTAAATTAGAATTACAATATCTCAATTGGATTATTTTCCATTGCATCATTTAGTAATAAACTACATTTAAAGGCACTTTATAAGACAAACAGTTCCAATTCATGTCAACAATAGAATAAAACATGTTTTCCTAATTCAGTGTAATAACTAAGTGGATATAGAGTAGACAGAAATTGTACAAAAGTAAAAGCAGTGTTACTTAAAGATTATAGTATTTAGAAGTAAGTACGGTGTAGTATAACTCCTCCAGGAAGATTTTATTCACAAACTGTATGTAAACAGATTTCACTGAACTTTTATTGTGGGAAATGCTTCAAAGTTTCAGGAGTGCATTAAAGATACGGGTTGCTTTCCTTTCACAGTTGTGGTATTTTACATCTCGTTTCCTTGTCTGTATTTTATGCTTTAGTGGGTGACTTGGAGGAAAGTTTAAAGTTTTTACACATTATGGAAACTAATCTATTTATTGTTATTCAAACTTATAGCCAGTGGTGGATGAAGTATTCAACTATAGAACTTGAGTGAAAGTATCTATACTCATAGACAAATCTTACTCATCTACAAGTAAAAGTTTAAGTATTGACATCTGGTCAAGTTAAAGTATTGAAGTACTCACTTTTGAAAATACTTCAAAAGTATTCAAAAGTTCATGCATTTAGAAGTACTTAAGTATTCAGAAATACGTTTAAAAATTTTCTAATATCAGTACATTTTTTGTATAATTATGAGAGTAATTTTAGAGAAGATTGTAACTTTCAGAAACTGCTACAACTGCTACACCACCTGTTAAAAACTTCAGCATAGAAATGCCACAAAAAATAAGGAGCCCTATTTGGATTATAATTTCATATTTAAAAACTAACCAAAGAGAAAACAGGAGGGTCTTTATTCTCCTAACTCTTTCACCATGGAATAGAGGTTTAAAGTTGAATCTATTACTAAAAAGAAACTACAACTCTAATTTGAGAACTCCTCCTACTGAACAACTGTGACAACAAATAAAACCTTAATAAAATGTATATACTACAAATAATATCTGCCCTGAGTTTCTCAGATTTTGGACCATCATTAAATGTCTTAAAGAGTGGTGTTCAAATTCAGTCCTAAAGGCTGCTATCTACCATTTTGAAATTGCATTTTACAAATATCAAGTCACTAGCAGCTTCCTCGAAATGGAGTGAAGTAGAAAGCACAATATTTGACTTTGAAATGTAGTGGAGGGAAAGCCTCCCAAAACATTAATCAAGTAAAGATACTTAAATATTACTTAAGTACAGTAATCAAGTTTGTTGATAACTGACATAAATCAGCACTATGTTATCAAACTCAAGGCACACCAGCAGTGTTGGGCGAGTTACTTTAAAAAAAAGTAACCAGCTTTAGTTACTAGGGGATTGTGGGAGTTTTTATGGGCCTCTTAAAAAAAAAAAAAACACGTGACCCTCGTCTGATCTAGCAGCTTGTCTTTTTTTGGTCTCGGCTGCATCAGAGCGCCACTTCT